TAACTTAAAGAAGTCCAGACGCTTTTCTTTGCAAGCTCCTTTGACTGCATTGTGTTATGCAATATATCACAATGCATGGCAGATATATATCAATATATAGCATTATTAGCCTTATGCACATCAACTGAGCCAGCTACCCACTGTCTTGAAACTACAGACAGTAGATATGGCACAACGGGGCCAGGGCATGATAGCAGTACCTATCATGTACTGGCCCACAAATTTAACATCAAACCTTCTAGATATAGATATTTACACATAGACCGACACACACAAACCCTGACCTGGTGTTAACACTTCTTAATAGACTCACTTCTACTTGGTCCAGGTCAGCTCATTTGGTTATGGTTAATTAAGGATATACTATGTTTAAATTATGGATTAATGATTAATGCTTTCAGGCTGCAAGTTTAAAACGTGCTTCTGTGCTGCAACTGGATCTCATACTCTACGTTTTAGCTATGTGTGCTACAGTTTTCATTCAGAAGAACAGCTCTGCGTAAAGAGCTAAAGTTCTCTGCCAGCTACTGGTCAGTCGAAACAGAGAGCCTGTAGTTCAGGACAGAAAAACAAATCAGCAAAAGCCACCACATCATGTGGCCTAAAAGCAGAAATGCACATGGACATGAGCCAAGGCAGCTGACAATTTTTTGCCTTTGTTATGTTTCCACACTGACAACCACAGTGGCCACATGACTTGCATCTTTGGGTTGTCTATCAAGTCCCAATTCAAGTTTATTTATATGATCAAATCACAACAACAGTTGCCTCAAGGTGCGTTATATTGTAAAGACCCTACAATAATTGTCCCACAGTTTTTAACATCAAATATTTGGTGGTCAAAGGTTACAGTGACAGTGTCCCTTAAATTCTTAATTTTTTTCTCTTTACATCTCAAAGAAATCTCTACAAATTTGGCCAAAGTCTTTAGACTTCAGGAAAAAATCCTTAGATTTTGGTGGTCAAGGGCATACTCCTACTCCTACATAGAAACCTAAAATATCAAATATATTTAAATGTTAAAGTCAGTTAATAATTACTTACATACTGATGGAAGAAATAAATCCAGCTGGGATTCACTCTTGATTTGTAGAAGCTAACGAGACAAACTCATCTCATCACTATCCATTATCTGTGTGCTGTTGTTCCACATCCAAGCTGCTGTTTGGATAAACAAACACAATATACACAGGCAGACACAAAAGAAAACCCAAGGCCCTGGCTCCGATTATAGCAGACACCATCACTGCACTCAATAGTGGCCATTGTGAAGACTGTTGACTAAGAAAAAATGATCTTTAAGTTGTAGTATTGTTTTTCTCTGCAGGTTAGTTTGGTCTTACTAAAGTATTGTACTAAATTTGAAAAGCAATATATAAAATGGAGCATTGTACACAGCTATTAGACTTTTTACTTGAGTCTTTATCCTGGTGTTATCTGTAGAGTTACAGCATGATGTCATGGCAGTACAGCCTACTGGACACAATGGCTTCTTGTTTGCTGTTCTTGAACTCTTTGTCTCCCAAAACTTGAATAAATGCCATTTTCTAACTGGTTAGAATAGCTGTATAGTCCAGTATGTCAGCTTCATAACCAAAATGATTATTAAGGGTCATGATTAGTATTATTAGTTTACTAGTGATACATTTATTATTAAGTTTGCATTTCCTCTTTAGTGTTGCCTTTATTGGCTCTGGTTAAGCACTCCTATAAAACCATGATTTTACTTGTACAGAGTTCAAAATTTTTGAGAAGTTATTATTAGCTCACGCAAGGAGATACATCTTATAAGGCCTTAATGTACAGTTGTGGTTGTGTAAGGATAAAGCTTTTCTACCATTTTCTTTAAACAATCGTTTGATCGCTTGAAATTTTAAAAAGCAACAAGAGGAAGTGGCTTTCAATGACATTTCCACAGGCTTCTACGGAGAACATAGACATTCACAATCTGATTGAATATCATTGTTGGGTCTGTGTTTCCACAAGCCCCGCTGATTGTAGAGACTTATTCATCATGAAGAAAACAAGACAGTCGATCGATCGATCACTTGCCCAAGGGAAGCCTGTGTCCACCACGAAAATGACCCCGACGACGACCTCCCTTGCTGCCTTTTTATTGAGAGACAGTTCACACAAAACACATCAGAGCAAAGCCACGCCCACATGGTTCTAAGACAAGGCATTGTATGTATATGTGTGAACTTCTGTATCTAAGTAAGAATGTGTGTGTGTGTGTGTGTGTTACCTCCTGCTGACCAAAGGGTCATAAAAGCAGGAGCAACATCACAAGAAGCAGATCTTCCAGATAGGATGTATCTGCAATAAAACATTACAGCCCCCCACCCAGAACCTCGAGAATCTGGGGGGGAAGGACAGTGGAATCCCTTTCATCAGAGTTGGCAAGCATAAAATGACAACATTTAACAATTCACTCTAACAATCATGAGTAATGCCCCCAGTAAACTTTTTCCAGTTAACCCCTGTGGAAGTCGTCTTTAATACCATAGCTTCTTAGAGATCAGGTGTGGTGTGTGGATGTGCTCTTCTCTGTTTTGTTTTTCTTTTTTCTTTATGCTCATAAAGTCTTGATAATGACAGAAACTGCCCTTCTAAAAACATAGGTATCCAATCTATAGAAACATAGTTGGAAAAAAAAGTGTTTGATGTAAGGCATGCTTTACACCCAACAACTTTCACAGGCACTTAGTAACTGTACTATTGTACAGATGCATTAAGCTGGAAAAGGCGACACATTTCTAAAAACGGTTTCTCATCTTATGAATCTATGTTGCACAGACACAGGACTGCAGGGGAGAGCCCATGGGACTTCCTCTGAGCAAACATCGGATAGTTTTTCATGTCATAAATCAGATCTCATATGCAATAAAGTACATTTTACTATTGGGGACTAGATTTCCACTCATTCTTATCGTAACTGTCCTGCTCCTGTGAGTTATTATTTTATTCTATAACAAATTGTGATACCTGCATCAATAACCCTGTACCAACAGACCAAGCTTTATTTCTTTGTTTTTTCAACTTTCAATTCTGAAAAATGGGTGAAAATAAGCAACAAAAAACTGCAAAAGGTTATGTGGCTAGCTAACATCTGTATTCATGTGTTCACTGTAGAAAAAACAATGAATAATAATGGTGTTAATTGAAGGACGCAACTGAGGCAACGTTCAGATAATAGCATAAGTGACACCTTGAACTCGGTGACATAATGCTCAGAAGCAGATGCAGCAAACAATGAGCCGACGCTTTGGAGAGAATAAGGACGTGACCCTGACCTTTAACCCAAATGAGATGCTAAGACATAACCTAAATTGGGCAGTTCAAGACATGCTAGACATAATGATTCTACGCCTATTCTTTGTGGTAGGTGATTGGGCGGATGTGTAAGATCATCGACAAGACGTGTCTGTCCCCAACACCAACACTGGAGCAGCACCTGATGTGGGATGACATTGCCATCTTGGCTCGCTACATGCTCATGTTGTCCTTCAACAACTCTCTAGATGTGGCAGCCCACTTGCCTTATCTGTTCCATGTGGTAACCCTGCTAGTAGCCACTGGGCCTCTGTCCCTCAGGGCCTCCACTCACGGTTTGGTCATCAACATTATCCACTCCCTCTGCACCTGCTCTCAGCTCAACTTCAGTGGTGAGGAAATGTTTGTTCATCTGTTTTCTTCTTCATTGGTCAGTGAATAATGGGAGGTATCTTCATAAAGCTAGATGCATGAGTTTGCATGGCGTGCAGGCACACAATGGACACACAAAACAAAAAGCGAGTAAGCTACTGTGACCTGAAAAAAGAACCATGTTTTTGTGTTGAATACAGAGGAAACAAAGCAGGTTCTGAGGCTGAGTCTGACTGAGTTCTCCCTGCCCAAGTTCTACCTGCTGTTTGGCATCAGCAAAGTCAAATCAGCCGCTGTGATTGCCTTCCGCTCCAGCTACAGAGACCGCTCATTCTCACCAGGCTCTTATGAGAGGGAGACCTTTGCACTGTCCTCCCTCGAAACCGTCACTGAGGCCTTACTGGAAATCATGGAGGTCAGCTGAGAAAATCAGGATTTTTACATGTTTTTGCTTTTTCTCTGCCTTCCTACTTCCCTTTTTCATTTAATAAAAAGTTATTATTATAAAATTGACTGTTTGTCTAATTAGTGTATTTAGTTTATTAAATACTGATTGAGTTATGTGTTTTTGGTCCAGGCTTGTATGAGGGACATACCAAGCTGCAAGTGGTTAGACCAGTGGACAGAACTTGCACAAAAGTATGATCTTCTTGTGTTCTATTGTATTTCATTGAGTTGCATAGATTTTCAGTGTGGAACAGGTATTTATTTGTCTTTGGCTTCCAGGTTTGCATTCCAATACAACCCATCTCTTCAGCCCAGAGCACTGGTGGTGTTTGGCTGCATCAGTAAAAGAGTGAGCCATGGCCAGATCAAGCAGATCATTCGAATCCTGAGCAAGGCTAGCCCTCTGCTCAGCATAGACCGGGTGAGGGCCTTGAGTCATTTACCGTGCAGTCTGATCCGTGAACAGAACGTGTGTTTCAGTCCTTCACGTTTGTAGAGTAAAGCTGCTTCACATACACCTGTGAATTTTACTTCACTGTACGGTGTAAACGGTAACATTTAACTGAAAAATTATGTTTAACATTTTGTTCTTCTTCCTTCTTGCTCCTTTTTATTTCACTCACTCTTCTTTTCATTTCAGGGTCTCGAGAGCTGTCTGAAGGGGCCAGACAATTACAACAGCCAAGTATTAATAGAGGCCACAGTCATTGCTCTGACTAAGCTACAACCTCTACTCAGCAAGGTATTCGACTAGTATAGATCTACTTTTTGTCACAGTTGGGAAACCTTTCAGAAATTCACAATGCTGTTCAAAATGAAATTGTTTCAAACTGTTTGATCTTTCTTTTCAACTTGGTAACTCTGTACATCATATTGTTATAAAGTAAAACTTTATTGGCTCTTTGTTTATCACTATCCCCTTTGTAATATTAATTACATTTGTCTTTATTTGTTTAATCTCCCAGGAATCTCCCATGCACAAAGCTCTGTTCTGGGTGGCAATAGCTGTGCTGCAGCTGGATGAAGTCAACCTTTACTCAGCTGGAACGGCCCTGCTGGAGCAGAACCTCCACACTCTGGACACAATGCGTGTTTTCAATGATAAGGTAAAAAACATTATTTACTGCTTTTTCATTCCTGCAGTTGTATATTGTTTGAATTAAAGACCATCCATCGGGTGACAATCTACTTTTTGCTTTGTATAATTTAGTTTGTAACAATGCCCAGGAACATTGTTTATGTGAATATGGCTAATAACTTCAGCTCATCCACTGTAGGCACGCTTTCACTTTAGAAAGTGGTGATGGTAAGTAACCAGATGACTGCAGTGTTTCTCAGGGTCCCTCTGTGATCAGGTTATTGAAGTGAACGTAAACACACTCATTTATAAGACAGTCAGAATATTGTCTGGCACTGCACATCACCCATTACTTTTATGTAGAACGTCTCTGACAGGAGCTAAAAAAAAACGATTGGTCTTTTTTGTATGTTAAATGTCTTCAAGAATCTAATAAAGAGATATTTGATTCAGTATTTAGCACTAGACTTCCATCATGTAGCCAAAAGTAACATCTGTGTGCAGGACATACATCGACATGACCATTGATAAGGAGTCTTTTTTTAACATATAATTTGTCCTCCAGAGTCCAGAAGAAGTATTCATGGAGATCAGGCGTCCTTTAGAATGGCACTGTAAGCAGATGGATCACTTTGTCGGCCTCAACTTTAGCGCCAACTTTAACTTTGCACTGGTGGGCCACCTACTCAAAGGTAAACTGGTGTGTCATGATTCTAAACACTTGTTTATAGATATTTAGTCTGCAAAAACACAGTTAAACAGACACACAAATCTGCCGTCAGTGTGATTTTAGAAATGAAACTTCAGAATATGTACACAGGAAGTGCTATGTCTAAAAATGGCTGTCTGCATTTAACTACAGTATCTAAGAAAGGAAGTCACACAGCGTGACTGTGAAAAGCAACGTGTTTTATTATGTGTGAGGGTTTGTCCCCCCTCAGCACTATATTTTGTTTGATTGTTTTTGTACACAGTGACATTTCCATTGCCGTCTGTCTTTCTGTGTCTCAGCATGTTTTATACATGTCTTTCAGGCTACAGGCACCCATCAGCCACCACAGTCGCGAGGACAGTGAGAATCCTTCACACACTGTTGGCTCTCATCAGCAAGCATCTGAAATGTGACAAGTTTGAGGTCAACACCCAGAGTGTGGCCTATCTGGCTGGTACATAAGATGTTCAGTGTCGTTTTACTGTATACTATTTCTTCTAGAAAGTTTCAGCACTTTCATACCTTTCATTTGCTGGATATTTGAGGTCATCATGTGATGAAGTTGAGGAACTTGGGTAGTGTTTGCTAACTCAGATACCAGAGGATCTTAGCATTAATATTGAACCAATGTCTGAGCTGCTAACCCTGCTTAGTTGAAGTAGTTTGGGTGTGCCCTTCTAACAGCTATGATATCGTAACTAACATTTTGTTGTTTTGTGCAGCACTGCTCACTGTATCTGAGGAGGTCCGAAGTCGCTGCAGCCTCAAACACAGGAAGTCACTATTAATTTCTGACCTCTCCATGGACCCAGTTCCTATGGACACCTTCTCAAGTCATATGACTGATCCTACGTGCAGGTGAGCTCATTAAAAGACAATAAAAACTAAGGACAACAAACTGCGGTGGAAGTTAGTTAAAGAGCATCAGTCTGCTCACTGATGCTTCTGTTTTCAATAGTATTCTACTTGTGCTACACCAAATGTGTGATGATGAATAAATAAATAAATACTTTAATGAGACAATTTGAAACAATAGTTTTACTAATAATGTATAGATTATTATAAAATGCTGTAAATTGCCCGCTGAGAACCACCTGTATTTTTTGTGAATTTATTTTTTAAACTTTTCTTCTGTGCTCTGCACATCTGTCAAATCACTACAGTAATTTTAAAGCCAAAAATAAACTTTTACAGACAGGTAAGCCCAAGAAAGCCAGTGACTTCTAAATTCTGTCCCAAATATCACTTGCTATGGCTATAATTTTAACACACATGCACAGTTCTCTGTGGAGGAATCATTGGCAGAAAGTATTTTTGAACACTGTGTAATCTTCTTTGCATTCTTTGCAATCATCTTCGATGGCAATGTTAAAATGAGGGATTCTTGCTTTTCATATTTTAATGCTTGTTGTTCAGCTGCTGCACTTCCTTTGTATTACATTAAAACTATCGTCACCTCTTAATGAGGAAATGAGAACCTTCCTTCTTCAAACAAGTAGCAAACTTTGTCTGTCTGTGAAATATGCAGAAGTCATTTGTTTCGGGATTTTTTTTAGCTCTGCTCATACAAAGAAAACAGTTTTCAGTGAATAGATGCCTTCATGAAAACTCCGACATCAGAAAATCACAATTGTCGGTTTCAACTAAAACCAACAATTTGTTTCAACAAGATCAGAATTTTGAGCAGAAAAAAACCTTAAATTTATATTAGTTATATTAATATTGTAAAAGAACCCACCCATCACTTTACTCACACTCTAGATCTTGTTTTAACATATGGCAAAAAAAAACCCTGAACATTTAACAGTGTTTCCTGAAAACCCTCTTTTGTCTGATCATTTCCTGATTTAAATTTACAATAGTTACACAGCAGTGGGGAGTAGGTTTCTTCACAGTAGATGTCTTTCTGAAAGCGCTGTAACTAAGTTTAAGAATATAATCCAGCCACTGTTATCATCTTCAATGCCCTGTACCAACACAGAGCAGAGCAGCTATCTGAACGCTACTCCAACAGAGGTCGATTATCTTGTTAATAATTTTACCTCCTCACTATGTATGACACTGGATACTGTAGCTCCTGTGAAAAATAGTATCTCAAACCAGAAGTGCTTGACTCCGTAGTATAATTCTCAAACACATAGCCTAAAGCAGATAACTCGTAAGCTGGAGAGGAAATGGCGTGTCACAAATTTAGAGGATCATCATTTAGCCTGGA